TGCGAACATAAGCTGTTACCATAGAAATATTAGAGACACTATATATTATGATTTCTATGACTGATACACTCAGGGGCATCTAGGAAGAAAGCATTATTAAGGGGGCAGTAAAAGGCATCATCGCTGGGTTTTAATTTTTTTAATATAATTAAGAGAGAGAGAGAAAGTCTAAGATAAAGAGAGAGAGAGTAGTAAATTGAGACGGGGACAGGAAAACGGTGATACGGTGTGTATGCGAGCGGGAAACGGGGTACAATTAGGTCGTGCGAGATGGTGTGCAAGGGGATATGGGAGGTGGGAGGCAGGGGGAGGGAGGTCGAAGGCAGGGGGAGGGAGATGGGAGGTAAGGGGGTAGAAGTGAGAAGCAAGGGGAGTGAAGTGGGAGGCAGGGGAAGGGAGGTGAGACGCAGGAGGGAGGAAGGTGGGACGCAGTGGGGAGGGAGGTAGGAGGGAAGGACCCCCCGCCCCCTCTAATTAAACTTGGAGATCCATGTTCATATGTTGAAATCTTTTATGTCAACGTCAATGTCATTCATTAACTTGTTTTTGAATTGTTATTATTGTTCTTGTTATTAGAATTAGCCCATAGAGATTAGGTGGGTGCGAAAGTGTAGCTGATATATTTGTTCTAATTGGCTACGAAAGTCAAACAAGAATAAAGAAGACTTATGTATAAGACGTCTTGCTATGCACACATGAATTTATCAGCAGAACACCAGACACCAGATGAGCCCTGTCGCACTGCGGCACTTGTTTATTCAATCTATCCTCTTTTTCTTCCCTCTCGCCCCCTCCACTCTTGTCCCTTCTTCCCCATCCAATCTTCCCCAATCCTCCCAATCTTCATTTCCCCATCTGCCTACCCATCTTTCTCCTTCCCCTTCCCTTTCCTCCTCAACCTCTCCCGTCCTACTCATCGTCATCATCCTCCTGACCCATCCTACCCCATCCTACCCCATCCTTCTCCTGCTCATCACCCAGTATTCCCCCTGCCCTCTACTCCTCTCTTGCCTCCTCTCTCGACAATAGACAATCCCAATCAATTGTTGCTTATCAGTTGTTGCTAGTTTTCGCTAGAGAATGCTACAGTTATGAGCATGGATCTAACCCAACAACGCTACAGTTATGCGTCTAGACCCAACCCCGCAATTCTGCAGTCATGAGCATATATTTAACACGGCAATTTTGCAATTATGCAAATCGATCCAACCCCCAACAATGCTACAGTTATGCTCATAGATCCAACCATAGAAACATATCGAGAAACTAGTATCACTGGTCTAAGTAGTATTATTTCCATCCACCCTCTCATCCTCAGCAATGCAATTTTGAATGGGCGCCTGCACGTGTTCTCAAGCAGAACACCGGCTATAGACGGATCGTGCCGGTATGGAATGCTGCACACCACGGCTGCAAGTCAGCAGCGCGCAACTCCGTCTCGCGTGTGATCACCAACGCTGTAAGTGCGGTCCCGTCCACGGCAGACAAGAAACGCACCGGTAAGTTGTTCACGCGTTTACTGTGTGTGCGTTGTAGACGTGTAGTGTGGCGAATGAGTTCGTTAATTTTAAGTAGAAGTGCGGCTAGTCGGATATAGTTCTGAGAGCTGGGATTGGGAAAATGTACGTTTGCGCGCGCGCGCACGCACGCACGCACGCACGCACGCACGCACGCACGCATACGGGCACTTTCGCTCTCGATCCCCCTTCTCCTTCACTCCTTCCCTCCTTCCCTCCTTCCCTCCTTCCCTCCTTCCCTCCTTCCCTCCTTCCCTCCTTCCCTCCTTCCCTCCTTCCCTTCCTCCCTCTTTTCCTTCCTCCCCCTCCTTTCCTCGCTCCGGCCCTCCCTTCCTTTCTTCCCCCTCCCTCCTTGCTTCCCTCTAACTCTCCGCGTACACGTGTGCGTGTGTCTGGGCGTACGAACATCTCTCTTTCTACCCCATCGCGCTCTCTCTCTCTCTCTCGCTCTCTTTATCCCTGCCTCTTTCCTGCTATTTACCCTTGTTTTTGGATAACATGATTGGACACGTACCATTTGTTGTGGTTAACAGGCAGCGCAGTCATTCAGCATCACAATAGTATGTGCTAAGAACAATGTTTAGTCACCAAAGTGCTGCAAAGTTACCATTTCATCGCGCACACGCCTATTTTGCAAACTCGGTGAGCTTGACCGACCTAGAAACTACATCCGGAGGGAGGAGACAGTGTCTTATTTGTTCAGACAGATTGGTCACTTGTTGTCACATTTAATTTGGTCAGTGTCTGAGGGCCCCCCTACTAACAACTAAAAATGTCTCGCTTGCTTTTGATATCCTAATAGTTATCTACTTGTGAATGTCTCCTTAGCTCAAAACTCTTACGGAATACGTAAGATAGCGATGATATAAGTTGGTGTGTATAAGTTATTCGGTGGTACGTAGATTTATATAACAGGCCGAAAGTCGAGTGGCAGTGAAATGTTAACTATGTACCCACGGCCCAGTTTGTCAGACTCTTACTTTTACTCTAACTCTTACTCTACTCTAGATAGTTTCTTCTCGCCTACTTTTTCTCGATGCAATAGTCGATGTCAGTACGTATAGCTCAGAGCGTAGATAAAGCTCAGAGCTGTCTCTTCGCTGTTTGCTTGACCAATTACGCTTGCCTCGCTGTTCTAGTATCTTGGAGGTGGCAGTTATTCCCATACGGCTAAACATAAAAACCACTCACATTATCACTTTAAACCACTCTCATCGGGCGATACCGGTTGTACCAGATACTCAAAAACTGCGAACTTGCTACATCGGGCATTATACGAAAAATGAATGCGGGTATGGGGGGGGGGCTGTTATAGAATAGTGTACCGGTATGCCTTTTATTGCGTCGGATTGAATCGTAAACATATAATGAGCACGTGAACTTTCAACTGAGTAAACTTTGACCAACCATAAAATATCCTTATTTTGCCCTACATCTGTGCCGCTACATTATGCGCGTAAACACATATAGGTCTTGATGAAAAGACTGATAACCCCAAATTCCATTATATATATATATATATATATATATATATATATATATATATATAGTAGTAGTAGTATAGTAGTATAGTCGTCGTACGTCGTCGTACGAGTAGGTAACTACTAATAACTATATATATATACGTTCCGTCTACTACTACTACGTACAACACT